AATGTTATGGAAATGAGAATTTGTTGAAACTTCCCAGGGGTGAAGTTTATGATATGCTCATAGTAAAAAGAAAAAAGAAAATTGGGGACCCCCGAATTCGTTTCGAAGATATGACAAGTACAATGTGCAACCTTTCCCCTCATACGCCGCCATCTTGGTCTCGATATTTATGAGCCCTATGTAAATTTTCGATGCCAAAAGCTTCATGCGAGCATTAGGAAAATGGCGCAATCTGATTGGTCGAGAGATTCGCCCAGATTCGCCTAATTAGCTGTCCAACCTCCTCTGAGGGGATGATTGAATAAAACGCATGGTTCCGTGCAGGCCCACCTTTCTCCCAGTGAGCCTGTTCGCAGGCTAATGCAACAACTGTTGACAAATGAGCTTACAGAAAAAGTAATTTGATTTGAGAATTAGTTCCATTTAAGGGCATACATAGAAGTAAGCAATATATTATTAAAAGTGTAAACCTTCGCGCCCCTTGACATCATAGTCAATAGAATAAGGGGTTAGGTTAAAATACGGAAGCGGATGCGTAACGGATGCGGAACGGAAGGCCGGATGGGGTTAAAATGCGGAACGGAACGGATGGGTTAAAAGTTAATTTTTAAATTAACTTTTAACCCCATCCGTTCCGTTCCGCATTTTAACCACATCCGGCCTTCCGTTCCGCATCCGTTCCGCATCCGCTTCCGTATTTTAACCTAACCCCTTATTCTATTGACTATGATGTCAAGGGGCGCGAAGGTTTACACTTTTAATAATATATTGCTTACTTCTATGTATGCCCTTAAATGGAACTAATTCTCAAATCAAATTACTTTTTCTGTAAGCTCATTTGTCAACAGTTGTTGCATTAGCCTGCGAACAGGCTCACTGGGAGAAAGGTGAGCCTGCACGGAACCATGCGTTTTTATTACCTAATATGGCACATCGTCTGCCAATCATGTCACCTATTATGGCACATCGTCTGCCAATCTTTAGCAATCCCGTTTTGCGAGTATTTTCTAAATACATCTTGGCAGTTATGGCTGATAAAAGCGACGAGTAGATTCAAATAATGGAGGGTTTTACAAGCACAAGCGACGGTGATATTTATAGACGTTGTGAATCTACCATTTGGCCAAATGGGATGTTTTGACTATATACACACGCATTTAAATAGTTACACTGTACGAAAGACAAATATAAATGGAATAAATTTCGTGGATAAACGGCCGCATGCCTGACATACGACGTGTTACATAAAAGCGCTGCGTGTTTGTAATATGCAAATTATAAACTGATATTTATCTGCTTCTCTTTGTAAATCATTGTATATGTTTGTTTGTTCAGTGTTCACTGTTTTTATGTAATTATTGCGGATACGAAAAGCGGTCTATATCACAAGTAGTTGAAGACTTTAATAATAATATTGTTTTGGTAAAATGATATATTAGATATAGACAATATAATTTGGTTTGTGGCTTCCCGCCATTTTGGAAAATTAGTCCGCAGGCCTTTTCGTTCGTTTCCCACCAATTTTATATTTTTGAAAGGCCTGCGGAGGAGGTCGAATTATACAGGAACTTTTAAAATCGCGGTAGCTTCACGCCTATTCGCTTATTCTCCTGCCGTTTTTAATTACATAAGATATATTTTTCAAAATGTCATTCTTATCCATCTATTAATATAGTTGTTCTAAAAAATGGCGTCGAGATTTTTTTTTATTTATTTCGCCCTTCGTCTATAATATAGCGACTTCTTTGACGACTTTATATATTATATTTCAGATTCGTTGTAGTGAATCGCTCGTAATTCACTAAATATCAAAACTTATAAGACAAAGCCCGGCACCTTTGAAGCTGAGATTTTCAACTGTCTGCTGCGCAAATCTCAGAAAAATCTGTTTAAACTGACCGCAGCATAACTCGTTTGAAAATTAGAAGTTATGAAAAAAATTTAATCAATCGAATTGTGATGTCGCGTATACTTTTCAACTTAGGGTGATTCATCAGTAAATGTTATGGAAATGAGAATTTGTTGAAACTTCCCAGGGGTGAAGTTTATGATATGCTCATAGTAAAAAGAAAAAAGAAAATTGGGGACCCCCGAATTCGTTTCGAAGATATGACAAGTACAATGTGCAACCTTTCCCCTCATACGCCGCCATCTTGGTCTGAAGGTAGTTTTCCAGCTACATTTATTTCATGCAATGGGTTAATCACACTTTTGACGTCATCAAAACCATAGTTAATGAGGTTAAGAATAAATTCGAGATGGCTGTCATCTCATTGCTTTCAGACAAAATATTCCAATAGTTAAGCTTGACATGAGAAATCTGCAATATGATGTAATACATAATTCAATACGTTCTTTCGAATGTAACAAACTAAATTTTAAGTTCCACTAAGTATCCTTCAATTGGTATACCGGGTGTCCCAAAAAAAAGTACTCCGGTTTGACTTATAATAACTTCTAAACAAGTAAATCTATCAAACAGAAATAACTTGCATTAAATAGAGGAAGGACTAACTTAGATTTTGATATGTTACAGTTGTGTTTAACTTAAAAATTCACGGAGATATTAATGTTCAAAATCGGGAGCATATTTTGGGATGTGTCTAAAATTAGCGAAAATCGGCATATCAAATATTAACTCCAGCGTTTGTTTGTTTAATGACATATCAGGCTAACTTGTATTTCAGCGAATTGTCGTTAGGGTTTGTAAGGGATATGGCGTAGATTTAGACATCTTACATGTAAGTCTTAACTCATTGTTTCCTGAAATATGAACGTTCGAAATTATGTGCAAGTATTTAATAGGTCTTTGCAACTTAAACGTACATGAAAGACCATGCAAGGCAGGTGCTTAAATTTTTCTTAAATAGCCTAATTTTTTTATGTTTTTAATGGGTTCAAAAAGTTGATTATTTCTCGATTAGAGCAGGATGAATATTATTCTTTAATGAAGGAAATAATATTGCTTTTTGCAAATACACATCACAGTATCAACGCTAGCGCTATTTTGTTACGTTTTGTTCCAAAAATGTTGGATGTCTCTGGGGAGTTGATTGTTACTGTATGTCTTTACTTATGGAGTTGTTTGCATAGTTTGATTGTGTTTCATTCTCAGTTTATTCTGAACTTGCCAAGATTAAGAAAGGCAAAAGAGTTTGGGTGTTCTTAACAAGATTTCAGAACGTTGCAGAAGTTATAAAGTTCATTCAATGTGAAGTTAGAAAATTCACAATTCCATTGTGACAACATACCCTAATTCAGAACTACGAACGATCCATGACGATCCTTCACAATGCAGTGGTCTCATGAAATAAGGAAACGTATTCGTGCTAGGAGCACACGCGGATTTCGGACGAATAAATCCTTACTTGCTTGTATTTTGTAGATAATAATACTTTGTTTCATAATAAACAAATTGTCAAGTGTCATTTTATCCCCGAGCCGGCGGCGCAAAGCGCCGTGCGAGGGTACTAATTCCCCCCGGCTATTTACACCCGGGGAAACGAAAGCATTAGCGAAGTCTAAAGTTCATCAATGAGCGCGGGCGTCGGTCACCAACGATGGGTGGTCATCCTCACTGATCTCAAAAATATGGCGGACTGTCATGAATAACGGACACTGATTGGTCCAATTTAAAGTTTGCATTATAACGACTGCATGACGACAGCGAAATGCCGAAATAGCAAACATTTCTTGATTTGATGAGTTGATGATTGATAAATTTCTTGCAATTATTCTTCATTTTTGCTCGTATTTCTGCAAGATTTTGTAAATTTCAAGAAAGAAAGGGTGAAAGAATCGGCTAAAAGAAGGGAGCCAACGTTAACGAAGGTAAGTTTGGTTTTAAATATTGATTTTATAATGGATTTAAAACCCGACGGCCTTCAATTTGGGTATATGAAACAACTAAACAAGACGCATATAATTTCAATGTATCTTTAATATTGATTCCCTTCTTTTGTTATATTGAATTTTTTAAATAAAAAAGAAACCAAAGTTCTTTGCAAGCGAGAATTTGAAATCATTTTATTGCAAACTCAAAGTTTATCGATAAAGCCATTTAATTTATAAAGGCAGTTTAAAGTTTTATAAAGAACACTTTAAAACGTTTTACGAAGCGTTTGTGGTTGAATTTTACATTAAATTGAGGCTTATATTACGCATAATAACATACCTAACATATATATGTTGGGAAATGGATAATTTTGTAATTAAAAATGAAATTTTTAGGCGATTTTTCATTTGTAAGAATATTCTTAAAAAATTATCGTGTTACCATGACAACTACTTTAGATACTTCATGTTCGGAAAATACAATGGTTTTGTCAGCAAGGCGAGGGTTTCTGCATGCATGTATTTTCTAGTTTACTGGTAATAGTGCATGTCAGTCGGGCAAATCTTGATTAATATTTGATACGCCGTTTTTTGCATATTTCAGACACATCCAGAAATATGCTCCCGAATTTAAACATTAATATCTCCGTGAATTTTTAAGTGAAATACAACTGTAATATATCAAAATCTAAGTTAGTCCTTCCTATATTTGACGCAAGTTATTTCTCGTTAAAAGCTTTATTTGTTTAGAAGTTATTACGAATCAAACCGGAGTACTTTTTTTTGGGACACCCGGTATATTATTATTATTATTATTAATGGTTTATTATAAAAATCGTCGCGCTCGATGAAAGCTAATTGCGAAATTATTTACAAACTTTAGTTAAAAGTATTAAAAAGTACCTTGTGTTACTGGCATTATATTACAACAATAGTTTACTGATCTATGAATTAATATCGAAAGAACTTTTAAATTTACAAAATTTACAAAATTTATAAATTATGTGATTGAATACACATAGTAGGAAAAAAGCTTTTCTTTTCTTTTTTTGTTCATGGCCTAACTATGTAACTGATTGCTGAATTTAGACGTTTTCCGATTTTGGTAATATACAATGAAAGCGGCATTTTATGCTCGTATATAGCAATGGTCGTTCTTTGTCCGAATAATGCTCAAAATTATGCTCCTTGCTTCAATATGAAGAAATACACACAAAATAGGATGTCACGTGTATTTTACTTAATTGACAGAATAATAAGTTTATACATCTGACACAACGTTATTATAGCTCTTTGTTGACTTGTTCTTTATAAAATACTATATATTATATACATACGAATTATTTCGTGACACAGGCGTGGCTCACGGCATGCATGCATCTTGTTTTAATTTTTACCCGAAAAACTGGTTCAAACAGCTAACAGGCTATTTTCTTTCCTCCAAGTCACAAGTATATAATATGGAGACAATATTTATGTGGAGAGCTTAAAGATTTGGAGTGAGTTTTCTAATGCTCTCTACATTAACAAAAATATATATGACAAAAACGAAAAATGTAAGATTGCGCCGGGAAGCCATTCCTTGAAAAACGTCCAAAAACACCGGTTAAGGCGGCTCGAAATATCGTCACAAATTCCTTTATGCTAGATTCAGTTAAAAAATCGTTATGCTATATTAATAAACCTACGCGTGATCATTAGTTTCCGCGAGAATATGAACTAAAGAACTAATTCAATCGGTATGGCCTGACGCCCATGCTATCTCGCGTTTGTCAGGCTTTTGGCTTTGTCATGCTCTGCTCAATATATGT